CAAATCTTTCACATTATATGAAGTTATTGCTTTTGTCATGGACTGTCTTTTGAAGATTAAAGCATATTATTGAGTGTGTAACTAGCTAATAATTTTTTCTTCAACATATTTTTCAGACCTATAAGTGATATTGTGTCCATTTTGCAGACTAGAACTGTAACATATTAGGGAAAAACTAAAGCCACTTCAGAAACACTTAAAAATATCTATTCAATTTGGAAGTCACACTTTGAGAACATGAACTTTTTTAAAAAAAAATTGCATGTATGCTGTACTTGTTACATTCAAAATTTTAATTTCCACTTACATCAGGAGCATTTTTAAGTGCTTAACTCCTTTAAAAATTGACCTTAGATTAATAAGGAGCTGAGAGGAGAATCCTTAAGTGTGTAACTTGCAGTCCTCTCAATACACATTGAAGCAAGATAAAAGGAACTGAGGAGAATTAACTGTTAATGGTGATATTGAAGAAACATGTTAGAGCTAGTGACTTAGGTAAGTGACAATACAAAATGAGATAGAAAGGCCAAGGTACCCACTTCCATTCACATCTGTTAGCCAATGTTATGTTTTCCTGTGGGCTCAAATAGTCCTCAAACATGTGCTACTCTTACAAATGGCCAGCATTTCCTCTCGCTCTACCATTAGTGACTTTGTATAGTATTCTAGGGTTTTTTATCTTTAGCGAAGTGGTTTATGTTAGACATGAGACCTTGCTCAGTAAGAGCTTTAGGTTTTAGTTTTGGTCACTGAAAGAAGTGAGCCAGTAGAAACAGCTACTCATTCCCTTTTCCTCATTCCTGTATAAGAAACGTTAGACCGTTCTGTGGGCAGGCACAACGTTCATCTGTAATTTTTCAGCGTCCGGCATGTTGGCTTCAGGCATGTTACTGCTGCAGCAACTTGATACTATTACACAAGTGCTCAGAATGGCATCAGGAGTTACAGAAGGTAACTTGACGTTACTCAGAAAAGTCCCTGGTCCAATATTACTGGCATACAAATAACAGAAAGATTGGATGCTAAGCTAGTATTGCATGGATTTTAAACCACAGCAGACAACTATGCCATCTTCCTGTCTCCGTGTCATGCAGAAGTTCATTATTTTTCTCAATATGCCTGCACTTTTTAGTTACGTATGTCTTTCACAGAAGTACAGTTTCCTGTTGAAAGACAACAAGAGACTTCACAAATCTCTTCAATTTCCTTCTTCCAGTGTTTCTTGTCAATCACATATTTCAAAATATGTATTTTATTTTACAGTTGGTATGTAGCTAATCCTCCATTGGCCTCCAACAACTCTCCTTTTTAATGCCTGTTTTATATTAAAGAGGTATTTAGAGTTTTTTCACTACAGTCAAATCACCATTCCATTAATTTCCAGAAGAAATTCAACTAAAGTCCATCAGCTCCCCATGTAAAGAATTTTCTGAAGTCTTCAAATAATTTTGTCATGGTCTGCTTTCTTAAAAATTTCTACTACCTATAATTTACAGAATGGATGAAATTTTCCAGAGTCTGCCTTTACTGTGTTAAATGCAGTGAAGGTAAATGCAATGAAATTTATACTTCCAAAATGAAATTCCAAATGTTTTGAAAATTAATGCTTAATTTCAGTTGGATATCTTTGTCGCATGAATTTCTCACGAACTTTATGGGTTTTTTATAAATACTATTTTTTCTGAAAATTATTTAATTTTTAAAATATTCATTGAATGCAAAGCATTAAGGCAACTTTGTTAGACAGCTATACTGTGAAATCTAGAAAGGGACATTTTTCATTCTCAGTAAGCCTATAGAAGAGCCAGGCTCAGCATGCAGCTAAAATACACAGCAGCTTGTACAGGAGTTTCTACTTCTTTAAGGCTGTCTTGATACCTTGAGGTTCTGGGCACTTTTTTGAGATCTGGGAAACCTATGAGGATACTGAGGATACCTGTTGTTTGCAGGTAAGGGTAACTCTAGCAACTTCTAACAAACCACATTGGCTGTCCCTGACCAGTGGGTGCCTGCAGCCTTTTTTCCAGCTGACCCCTGACTAGGGACAATCAAGCACCCTTTTAGCTCAGGACTGTGTAACAGCAGTTTGTGCAGCAATAGCAGAAGTAGCCAGTAGATGTACAGCAGTTTGCACAGCAGGTCATGCAGAAGGGCACAAAGAAGATGCCACCGAACCTTCTCTGTCCAGCATACGCATACTTAGAGGTGGTCACAAGGCACAGGACCCAAGTGCTACTGAAGTAGTACTGACAGATGTTTGCTCTCAGACTTTTGTACCCAGGCAACTTCAAATGGAGGACACAGCTCTTTAAGTCCATGGGGCCTCACATATTATATCCACAAGTGCAGAGGAACCTGTCTGATGTCATTGCAAGGCCTCTCTTGATTATTTTGAGTGGTCATGGTGACTGAGAGAGGTTCCTGAAGACTGCTCTCTTTGAGCAAGTATCACTTATGTCTTCACAAAGAAAAGTCCAGGGAACTACAGGCCAATAGGCTTCACCTCAGTCCCTGGGAATGTGAGAGATTAAATCCTCCTCAAAATCATTTCCACACACATGAAGGACAAGAAAGTGATAGAGATAGTCTGCATGGATTTGTGAAAGAGAAATTATGCTTGACCAAATACATCGCTTTCTATTATGACGTGACTAGCTTGGTGGATGAGAACTGACCACTGGATGTTGTTGAGCTCAGGTTTAGCAAAGCTTTTGACATTTTCTCCCATAATTTCA